AAAAAAAAAGTCTTTCGAGGATGCATAGGAGCCATGTTAACGTTGCCAAAACTGACAAATTGCGCAATATCTCTTTTTATTTTGATTACTGAAAGGAAAATTCATAACCTCCTGAGATATTTTATGTAAGGAGATTTAATTAAGATTATAAAAATATTAGAATTATAATATTACAAATTTATAGTGTGATATATTATTATATAATTATTTTTTTATTTAAAAGTTTATTTGTAATATTTATGTATCTACTTATTTAATATTATATTGTATTTATTTAATATTATATTATTATTATTATAAATTTATAATTTTACATAACATTATAAATATAATATTTTTATTACAACTATTAGATAAATAAAAAATAGTGTGTATCTTAACTTTTATGATGTCAATTATGTGACTGTTATTATAAGTGCTTACATTTTTAACATAGGGAAAACTTTTAATTTGATCCCTCAATTATTGTATAAATTTTTAATTTGATTCATAAACTAAAAATACCTCTAATTTGATCCTTACTATTTATCAATTTAGTTCCAAGTTAGTTTTTCTATTAAAAAATAACTAACATGTTGATTACTTAATTCATAATAAAAAACCATTACTTAATGATTATGTGTTACATTAATAATGAGAAACATCATTTTTTTTTATATAAAAAACTAATTTGGGGTCAAATTAATAAATAATAGAGATCAAATTAGGGATTATTTTAATTTAAGAACCAAAGATCCGTATGATAATTAGGTAACCAAATTAGTGACTTGACCTTAATATAAAGACATCTCTTTTTCTTTTTCTTTTTTTCATTTACCTTGATTTTATTAAATTAATAATTAATATTACGAAAAAAGCCTCCAACACATTGGTTTTGAATTAAGTTCGACAAATAATTTAATAATAATTTATTTTCAATAAAAATAAAATTTTAAATACAAGTTATTCGTGATAGATGTCTCTCTTATAAAAAATAAAAACTGATTGTAATTTGTGAATGAACGTTGTCGACATCAGTAGCGACTTATTGATTACTTGACGATGGTAAGGCCGGCGTGCAGAAAATTATACTGCAAAAGGATACACATGGCGATCAAGACCAACACAACGCATTTATTTTGACTTTTCAATCTTAATATCTGATCGTTGGCAAAAGAAGAAAACAATCATAATATCTGATCCTTTATTAATATTCCCAATAAAGCAATTGCTTGATTCATGGTTTGCTTTTCACCCCATCATTAATCAAAGTGGCCCAAAAAGAAGCAATTGCTGCTGCAGTGCCAGAAGAAACCACTATTAAAGGCCAAAACGTTGCTTCTCTAGTCTGAATCCAGAAAAGCTCCAGCCTCTGGCTTTTGTTTTCCTTCCCATATTTCCTCCAAGTCAAAATGAAATGACAAAAGCTCATTCTCTATTCTGGAAAAAGTAAAAGTTAAAAGCAAAAGCAAAAGCTTACAACTTATTCATAAAATGCTGTCGGCCCAATTGTTAGCAGAAAATGAAGGAAGCAACATCGGGTTAAAGGCCATGTCAAAGGGCAGCATGTGCTGCTTTGGCTGCTTTGGCTGCTTTTGCTTCCGCTTTGTCTGCCCTTATCCATTCATATTTATAGACCTTAACTCTTTTCCTTCGTAGTTGTACCAAATTTAGTTATATTTTGGATTAGCAAGCAATCCCTGGGGCCCTCCTTCCCCTGCATGATTAGTTGAGAACTAAATCCCTCTGTCCAATATTCTAAAAATAAAAAAAAATATAAATAAAGACATTAATTTTGTAATTTTTTTATTTAAAAATATTAATTTTGTTATTTTTGAATAAACATGTTAATTTTTTATTTTTTTATTTACAAATGTTAATTTTTTATTTTTTTTACTTAAAAAGATCAACTTATAACTTTTTTTATTTAAGAATTAATTAATTAGTAATGCTAATGTGACAAATAAATTTTCAATCGAAATATTAAAAGTTAACATTTTTTAATAAAAAAAATTAAAAGTTAGATATTTTTTTAAAAAATAAAAAATTAATATTATTTTTTAAAAATTAATAAAATTAACATCTTTAATTAAAAAATTATAAAATTGGCATCCTTACTTGTACTTTTTCTCTTGCGCAAACAATTGATGAGAATTTGACTTGCACAAAGACTAATCAATCGATGGAAAAGTATCACCATATAATTAATATAGAAAACCCTTCAAAACTAAGGGAAAAATTACAGAGAATAAGAGAAAAAATTCACTAATAAGATAAAGGTTATAATATTTGAAACTCAATCTCAATTTCCTTTAAAACTCATGATTCTCCTAATAACCTTTCCTCAATCTTGTTTTTTCTCTCCCACACTAGAGGTTCCCAATATTCTTTAAAAAATTACACTACAAGAAAAATGCCTTTTCAAATAAAATTTTTTTGACACCATATTGTAGTGTCAAAAACATATTTGGTAAAAGATACCACATTGTGGCTAATCACTTGATAAGTGGCGAAGCCAAAAAATATTTTTAAGGGGGGCCAAATAAAATTTCTACCAAAAAAATAAATTTGTGTGTCAATTTGAAAAAAAAAATTAATATTTGTTAATTAATTTTTAACAATAAGCTAATAGTAGTTGATAATGTACGCAATATAAACACCATAAGTAAAAGATAAAAATAAACAAATATTAATAGAAAAATATATACCATGAAGAAAGAAAGAGAAACTAAAGATATTAACAAACAAACAAACATTTAATAAGAATATGATAGTAAACAATTTTTATGCAATTAATTTTTATTTTTCCCCATATTTCATATTATTTTCCTCATCTTTCCCCTTGTCATTAAAAGTAATCTTTAACAACACAAATGCAAGAGAATGATTAAAATGGTATAAAATAAATGAGGATAAAAACAATAAAAATAAAACGAAAGGGACTAAATTAAAATTTTTTAAAAGGTTTAGGGGGCTATGCCCCGTTATAGTACAATTAATTATCTGCCAAGGCAGATTTTTTTGCGTTAAATTTATTGCCGCGTGGAAAACATAGTACTCTTATATAATTATTTTTAATACTGTACTACAGTGTCAAAAATAAAAATAATTAAGAAAATAATAGATTTTTTTTTTTTGGTAAATAGAAAATAATAGATTTATTATAAGTAAAACAGTGAAATTTTATTAGCAATTTATTTAATATTGTACTGTAGTGTAAAATAATAGGTGTTGAATGGAAGGCAGGCTATTTTATGGCTTATATATATATATATATATTAATATCAAATATATTAAAGTTTTTTGAAATTGTACTATGGGGTCAAATAAGATGTCATTATAATTAATCAATAACAAAAGATAGAAAGTGAGACTGGTCGGGAGCTTTTGGGTATTTATTTTTACTTTTGGGTTAAAAATTAGAGATTTAAAATTAAAATTTCAATTATCTATTAAAAAAATAAATAAACGTTTGTGTTGTTTCGAGTAAACTCAATCCACAAATGATTCAACTCATTTGGATTTAAGTAATTTTAGTTTAAGTTATTTTAAATTTTAGGTCAATACATTAAACTCATAATTTGACCCATAACAAATGAGTTAGATCAGAACCTTAAGTTAAGTCCAATTTTGCCAATTCTACTTTTTGTTTTTTTTTTTTTTAAATGAAAGCCAAGTAATGGTACTAGATGCAAATACTAATGATGATTGAATTATAATCATATGTATAATTCTTTGAAATATATTGTACTTTAAAATTTTTAGTGATTAGTGGATAATTCTATAGTTGTGTTTGTGAGAGAAAAAAATTGAATAAATCACATCTAAAAAATATGTAACAAATTTAGAAACATATCAAAAATTAGTATAGCAAATAACAAAATAAAATAAACAGATTTGAATTAATAAAAAATTATGAGTTAAAGATAAAATTTAATATTTGATCTAAAAAAATAAATAAGGATAAATTAATAAAATGAATATTTGAAATTAATTTTTAGCATTATAAAGGTGGTAATTTTTTATAATCAACAAAAAAATTTATTATGGGGAGTACAAGGAGTACTCTTGTTTATTCAAAATTTAGTTCGCAAATAAAATCTAATCCAAAAGTTGAATGGTCTATAACCCTCAAATAAGCACCCAATAAAATTGCAGAAAGGAGGAAAAAATAGAGTAGGAGGGAGTATAGGGTGGAAAAATGTTAAAAGTTTCGAGATTTTTTTATTAATTTTTTTTACCAAAAATATTGGAAGTTAGAAGAGAATTTTTATATTTATAATTGGTCTTAAAGAATCATTAATTGTTATGTAAACATTAAATTTTGAATTTAATGAAAAAATTAAAAAATACTAATGATAATTATTTTTATAAATATTAAGAATAATTAGGTAAATAAAATAAAATAAAATTAAAAGATAAAATTTGTAAAATAAAAAATTTAAGGATTGATTTTAAAACTTTTCCAAAAGACCATGGAGAGCCATGTTCCTCTTTAGTCTCTAATAACTTTGCCCTTGTGCTACTTCACATATTGCTAATCAATTTTATATTAGTTAAATTTTTGTCTTATATTTTCGTCCATATGTAAACTTTTCCTAAGCTATGTACCTTGAAATTTGAATATTGATAGATCGATGATCATTGCACATGCCATGTTGCGACAAGCAAAAAACAATCAATCTTACATTATTTTTATGCACTAAAATATAAGACATTATTAATTTAAAAATTTTTCAATGATTAACTATTTATCAACAATATAACATGGTATTTGGTATTAAGGTTTGAAATCAGTTATCTATGATTTAGACTAATTAAACAAATAAGAATGCTTGTATTATAAAAAATAATAATTATCATCTATATGATATTAGTCATTCATTATCCACTAGTCTAAACACCCTTTAAATGTGGTATTGAGATTTGGATTAGGTTGGAGTAGTCCTTACTCTATTTAATATAAAGTTATTTGTTTGGATGATAAAAATCTATGACAATATTATTATTCTTTTTATCAT